TGTCCATTGATAATTGTAGCCGTTTTATTTGCAACAAATGTCCGTTGATATATCGATTATATAACAACGCGCACCCTCTTTCCCATTCACACCAAAATCTCTCAAAATATTTTTTTTCCTCAAACCGAAATATACATGTTTCAAGACACTGGATGTATCGTAGAGAAGACCCAACAACAAAAGAAGTTACACCGGAGTTATGTGCTGGTTTGGAGTAATTTATGAGTTTTGCTTCAATGCAACCTTTATGTCAAGAACGTGGAAAATTGCAATATCCATGTAAAGGTTGTGGAAATTTAAAATTTTTAAACCAAGAAGTGGTCTGCAAACATCTATATCGAAGGGGTTTTATGGATGATTACTACGTATGACATGCATGGAGAAGAAGTCAGGACAACGACGAATACTGTTGTATGGACACAGCAAGAGGAGGTAGAAGAAACTGGAGAAAATCAATCTTTTGATTTTGAAACAAGAAATCCATATGCTCAAATGGTGACAGATGCTTTTCCGGAGGTATTTGAGCAAGTTCAACATGAAGAAGAAGAGCCGAATAATGATGCAAAAAGATTTTTCGACATGCTCACGATGACAAATCATCCTATATATGAAGGATGCAAACAAGGTCAGTCTCGATTATCATTACCATCAAGATTGATGAGCATGAAAACAGATTATAATGTTACTGAGAATTGCATGGATTCGTTTTTCAAGACATTGCATAAATATTTACCCGAAAATAATCAAGCTCCGCAATCATATTATGATACAAAAGCAATCTTGAAGGATTTGGGAATGCCTCATGAAAAGATTGATGTCTGCAGAAACAGTTGCATGCTTTTTTTGGATACTGATAAAGATTTGATGAAGTGTAAATTTTATGGAGCGAATAAATATCGACCGAGTAAGGATAGATCTTGTAGAAAAGTGTCATATAAGAAGTTGTTCTATATGCATGTATCGTATAGATTGAGAAGGTTATATGAATCAGAGAAAACAACGTCACATATGAGATGGCATGCAAATCATTCGAGCGCGACAGAAGATATGCAACATCCATCCGATGGCATTGCATGGAAAGATTTCAATAAGGTATTCCCTCATTTTGCTGATGAGTCTCGGAATGTTCATCTCTACTTATGCACAGATGGTTTTAGTCCGTACGAACAATCTGACATGCAATATTCATTATGGCTTGTGATACTCTCGCCATATAATTTGCCCCCGGAGATGTATCTGGAAAGAGAATTTATGTTTCTAACATTGTTGATTCCTGGGTGTAATGACCCGAGGCCGCTACGAATTGTCGAAACTTCCCTCACACAGCAACCCGAGACCTTTCAGCGTGTTTTGTCCTCACTCGCACGCATACCGAGACACTTTCCAGTAGGTCACCCATCCTGAGATTGCTCCAGAGCCAGCACGCTTAACTTTGGAGTTCTTTCGGGATAGTCAACCAAAAAGGTAGGTGCACCTTGTTGCTATGAGTAGCCCAACTAATTCTTTTATGTTATCTTAGACCGTATAGTCCCATACCAATACAGCCCTCGGATCTCTCTCATTCCGGTGTGTTCGATTCATCCCTGTACCCCTACCCAGAAGCGCTCTCGCCATATAATTTGCCCCCGGAGATGTATCTGGAAAGAGAATTTATGTTTCTAACCGGCTCTGATACCATCTGTAACGATCCGAGGCCGCTACGAATTGTCGAAACTGCCCTCACACAGCAACCCGAGACCTTTCAGCGTGTTTTGTCCTCACTCGCGCGCATACCGAGATACTTTCCAGTAGGTCACCCATCCTGAGATTGCTCCAGAGCCAGCACGCTTAACTTTGGAGTTCTCTCGGAATAGTCAACCAAAAAGGTAGGTGCACCTTGTTGCTGTGAGTAGTCCAACTAATTCTTTTATGTTATCTTAGACCGTATAGTCCCATACATATACAGCCCTCGGATCTCTCTCATTCTGGTGTGTTCGATTCATCCCTGTACCCCTACCCAGAAGCTCGTCAGGAGCCGCCCCTTGTCCGTGCCTCTGCACCGGCGATCACTCCCCGCCCTCCTACGGTACTCTGGGTTGTCACACTGGGCCAGATCACCCAGAAGAAGAGTTTTGATGTGTTTCTACAACCTTTGATTAAGGAATTGACAGATTTGTGGAACATTGGAGTTCATGCATATGATGTTAGTGTGAAACAAAATTTCACACTTAAAGTTGTGTTTCTATATATGGACGATCAGCGATTGTCTTGTATATGGTATGCTATCTGGATGGAGCACACATGGAAGATTGGCGTGCCCATATTGTATGGAAGAAACTGATGCGTTATACTTAAAGCATGGACGAAAATCGTGTTGGTTCGATTGTCATCGACGGTTTCTTCCAATGCATCATCCATTAAGACAACATCGTACTGCATTTGTTGAAAGTGGAATTGTTAGAGATTATACTCCAATATTGCAGACAGACTTCCAAATTTATTCGCAACGAACAAACAACGGTGTTTTTGACGATTTGCAAGAATCCGTTCGATATGGAGGTAATTTTGGGCATACAAAGTGCAAAGGATAAACGAAGTATTTTTCTGGGTTCTACCTTATTGGACTCCGACATAATGTGGATGTGATGTATATAGAAAAGAATTTCTTTGATAACATCATCAATATTGTTCTAAATGTCTCAGAAAAGACAAAAGATAATGTCAATTCGAGTAAGGACATGAAAAAAATCTGTAAAAGAAAAGAGTTGGAGCTAACACGTGATGGTAAGGCACCAACTCCAATCTTTAGATTACTGGGTCCTGGAAAGAAAGTTTTGATGAAGTGGTTGTAGGAAGAAGTGAAATTTCCTGATGAATATGCCTCCAAAATAGCTCGTTGCGTTGATATGGAGTCAATGAAGTTTATAGGAATGAAGAGTCATGGTTGTCATGTTTTTATGCAACGTCTCATTCCGATCGTTTTTGCAGAACTGGTAAAACCGAGTATACACGAGGGATTATGTGGTATAAGTTCATTTTTAAGAGATATTTGTGCCATAAATTTAAGAAGAAACAATTTAGAAGTTCTAAAGATCAACATACCAGAGGTACTATGTGCATTGGAAAAGGTATTCACGCCTTATTTTTTGATGTGATGGAGCATTTAACGTTCATTTGTCAGATGAAGCGATTGCAGGAGGTCTAGTTCAATTTAGATGGATGTATCCATTTGAACGATTTTTCTTCCATCTAAAGAAAAAGGCGAAAAAACAAAGCTGCGGTCAAAGGTTCAATTGTGAAGCAATATTTACCGGAGGAAATCACATATTTCAGCTCATTTTATTTTGAGCCTCAAATTCAGACGAAGGAACGGAGATCAGACAATAATGATTTGGATACATATCTATATCATTATGAATCTCGGTTTAGGGACGTCATTCCGAAGATTTTTATGCCTACAGGCCAGATGGGTGGAAAATCAAAGGAACATTGGTTAACTGTATAGGAGTACAACCATCTCGCTACTTGTATTTTATTGAATTGTGCAGACCTTCGTCATTATGAGTGGTACGTATGTATGTATATATATTGTAGGTACATTCAATACCCAATCCTCTGTGTCAAAGAAACTGAATATTCAACGTATTAACCTTTTGCAGGATCTTTGAGGAGCATGTTTTGGGTTCTTGCCCAAATTTAAGTGCGAAAGCTTTCGACGAATTGAAACAAGAAAACTACGCATCTTGGTTCAGAGACTATGTAAGTGGATATGTATCTTTAATAGTAATTTTTAATCATATATACATATATATGTTTGCTAACCCAACAATTGATTCTTGTGGTTGATAGGTTCAATCTTTACGTGACGAAAGAATTCCGCATTGGGTGCGAGATTTATCACAAGGGCCTAGCAGAAGAGTGATGTCATGGCCGATCATGTTCACTCGTGGATACACATTTCACACGTATGAACATGAGAAACATCATAATACGTTCAACTACGGAGTGTGCATAAAGAGTTCGAATTACAGTGATTCATCAGATGATCCAGATTTTTTTGAATTTTTACATCAGTTCATTCAGATCAAATATCTCGGATTAGTTAGTCTGAAAAACAGTGGTCTTTCGATGTTATTGGTTTGATACAACCATGAGACATGGATCGCAGAAAAAAAATGGGGAGGAATCGACATCAATCCAATACGAGCATATCCTAAATATGATCCTTTTATTCTCTCGGATCAAAGTGATCAAGTCTGTTTCATTCCATACCCAAAATATCTTGTATCCCAACATAAAAGACGCAAAGAAGATCAATGGTCAGATGTGGTGAAAATCAATCCTCGAAGAATGGTGATCAATTCATCAACAATTGAAGATTCAAAAGAAGCGGTACAAGATCCAAGTGAAAATTCAGTGCTTCCTATTCGATTGAAGATTATGAAGACACACCTATAGTTGCGGATGTAGAAGATGAAGATATTGATGATTTTATCCAAGTTGAACCCGATGAATTTATTTCCGAACATGATAATACATCATCCGAAAGTGAAAATGATAACGATTCGTTGTAATATTTATATTTTTTTTAATATTTTGAATTTGAACATTTTAAAATTTTATTTCTATTTACATTCGGTTTTTATTTTTTTATAAATTTTGACACATATCAACGGAAATCTGTTGATATTATCAACGTAGTTCCGTTGATTTATCTGCAGGATCCGCAATTAAATGCAACAACATATCAAGGATGACCGTTGATATTATTAACGCAATTCCGTTGGTATTTTCAACTTCGATCGTTTTCAACGGACTACCGTTGATTTATTTGCATGAGCTGCAATTAAATGCAGCGACATATCAATGGCCATCCGTTGAAAACAATCCATGGAGTTTGATTTTCCGTTGATAATTTCAACGGATCGGCGTTGATATGTTCATCCGCCAATCATGGCGTCTTGAATTTCGATGAACTTATCAACGGATGTTCGTTGATATAAAAGGACATCCGTTGATATGCTCTATAAGTCCGTCAGCGCTTTTCTTCCCCCTCACTTCTCAAACACGAAAAAAAAAACTGGAATTTACAAAAAAACGGATTCAACCTCTCTCTCGCAATGGTATATTTTTTTTTTCATTTTTTGCATTTATTATATTTTATAAATTAATAATTTTTAATTATATTATATATATAGAAATAATAATTGACTAATTAAATTTATTATTACAGCTTGCTACCAGGTTTCATCGAGGTGGGGGACTATGTGCGGGATCTGCTGGAGCGCCTCCACCCCACTTCCACCACCATTACATTTGCCACTTCCTCCTGATGCATCGTCTGTGTTCGACGAGGATACGAAGCTCGATATCGAGGCAACACTGGATGCTTTCGATAGTCGCACCATTCCCATTATCGATCCTGATCGCGATTATAGATTATGGTATAATTATAATGTTTTTAATTTTTTTATTGAATTTAATAACTAATGATTATATTATGTAGATTTGGAGTTAATGACGACCAAATTAAGAGTGTCCTAACTATCGAAATTACAGCTCGTATGCCTCAGCTGTATTATTCTTGGACCATAGCCTCAGACCACATTCGGCGACAGTGATGGTTATCTTTTATTGTAAGTATTAAAATATAATACTAATCCGTTATAGTCTAATTATTAAATTAAGTAAAAAAACCCTAAAAATTCTTGAACTTGTAATTTGGGGTAATATTAAATCCTAAACTTGTAGAGGTACCTATTAATTCCCAAACTTGCAAAATTGAACACGTTAAATCATGAACTTGTTAAACGGTTGCATAATCGTTCATAGCGTTATTTGGTAAAAAAAACGAGTTGACCGATCCGACATGGCCCATGATGTGGCGGTAATTTTCTGAGTTAGCTCTCCACGTCATGTGCTACGTCGGATCAGTCAACTCGTTTTTTGGACCAAATAACGCTATGGACGATTATGAAACCGTTTAACAAGTTCAGGATTTAACGTGTTCAATTTTGCAAGTTTGGGAATTAATAGGCACCTCTACAAGTTTATGAATTAATATGACTTGAAAATACAAGTTCAGAAAGTTTTAGGGTTTTTGTGAATAAAGTATGAGTATCTTTTAATTTCGGGGTAATCGCATAAAAATACCCGAACTTATACAAAAATCCTAAATAAATACCCGAACTATAAAATTATCATATAAATACCTGAACTTTTCAAAACTTCCACATAAATACCCAAACTTTTAAATTTTTTCCAAATCAAACAAACACAACTGCTGACTCAGCAAAAAACTGCTGACTCAGCAAAAAACTGGTGACTCACAAAAAAAACTGTTGACTCAGCAAAAAAACTGCTGACTCATCATTCAAAATTATTATTAAATATTCAAATATTCATCTACATGTATTTAAATTAATATATACACATAAATTCACACATATATACAAATATATATATATATATATATATATTAAAAATAAAATTATTTATAATTAATAAAACACATATACACATAACTACAATATATATATATATATATCATTACTAATGCATATATATTACAATAAAAATAATTATAATTAAATTTATTATTGGGGTAATCGCATAAAAATACCCGAATTTTTACAAAAATCCCAAATAAATATCTGAACTATAAAATTGTCAAATAAATACCTGAACTTTTCAAAACTCCCACATAAATACCCAAACTTTTAAATTTTTTCCAAATCAAACAAACGCAACTGCTGACTCAGCAAAAAACTGCTGACTCAGCATTCAAAAATATTATTAAATATCCAAATATTCATCTACATGTATTTAAATTAATATATACATATAAATTCACATATATATACAAATATATATATATATATATTAAAAATAAAATTATTTATAATTAATAAAACACATATACACATAACTACAATATATATATATATATATCATTACTAATGCATATATATTACAAACATTAATGGGTCATCAAATTAATGTAAGAGGCTCTTGATCTAATCATAGGGAATATCTATGTATGTATGTATTGATACAAATAAATTAGATATAATTATATGTACACACATGATTTAAGGATAAAATCCTAATTATAGTTAAATTTGCGACGCTATGCTGTTTTTATATATCCTTTCAGGATTGAAAACAGAGACCAACATCGGTTAGATGAGAATATCGACAAAGGGATCGTCTTAGACAATATAAGGAACATGAAGCATAATATATATTGTAACCATCAAAATATATCCCAAAGCAAAAGATTTCATGGTTCGGACAAAGATAGATTTGACACATGTGGGAGCCTATGCTCCACACAAATACCACCCACCCACCATTCTTGGTCCATTCGAGTCCACGACTTCCATGTTTCTTCTCCTTTGATAATAATAATAATAATAATAATAATAATATAAATTTGAGTGTCCTAGTTGGACTAAAAGCGTGGAGAAGAAACCAACAATTGGTGGTCGAGAGTTTACATAATATATATATATTTAATTATAATTATTTTTAATCTAATATATATGCATTAGTAATGATATATATATATATATATATATTGTAGTTATGTGTATATTTGTTTTATTAATTATAAATAATTTTATTTTTAATATATATATATATATATATATTTGTATATATATGTGAATTTATATGCATATATTAATTAAAATACATGTAGATGAATATTTGGATATTTAATAATATTTTTGAATGATGAGTCAGCAGTTTTTTGCTGAGTCAACAGTTTTTTTTGCTGAGACAGCAGTTTTTTGTTGAGTCAGCAGTTGCGTTTGTTTGATTTGGAAAAAATTTAAAAGTCTGAGTATTTATGTGAAAGTTTAGAAAAGTTCAGGTATTTATATGATAATTTTATAGTTCGGATATTTATTTGGGATTTTTGTAAAAGTTCGGGTATTTTTATGTGATTACCCCTTAAAAATAATAATAATGCATAAAAATAATTATAATTAAATATATATATTATGTAAATATATTAGTATTTTAAAATAATAGTAATGTATTACCCGAAACCGAGATCCAAAATATGTCCGTCTTATGGACCGATCGGTCTAGAGAGTAGACTGATCGGTCTACGCATGACGGG